AACTGGACTGAGATATTGGGAAGACTTATTTGCTGGGGATCCTCGCAATATTTACGCCTTGACACCTTAAGTCCTAGAAAGTCGAGGAAAGAGATATAGTGATATGAATCTACATATAGCATCAACATGTCATATGGAAGTGGAGAGTGGCTAAAATATGGTGGGAGTAGTCACTGCATTGAGTCCATCTTTAGTTGTTATGTGGTAAGTAGCTGACTGACAGAAGACGACTGCACTTTCTCCACAGATGCCGGCCATGCTGTAAACAAGCTACTGACTGAGTATATAGATGTGACCGGCAAAGAGACTCGGGGTTCCGCTAGAAGATTTGGATCCGCTCAAGCAATGGTCTTTTGAATTGTTCACATTGGAAGGAACCATCAAGAGAGAATTCAGCTTCCATCATCATTTACGCATGCCTTCACTAGGAACCAAACCAATGTTTGAAAAGTACGCGGGTTCTAATTATGTTATGAACCCTAAGTTTGGTTATTTCAGGCATGATTTCTCTGAAGTTTGCCTATTACACCTAGAAGACACAATTCCAAGCTGGCTGGTGATGCTTAAATCCCTTTTCCGTTATGCTGCTGGCTGGTGATAGACCAGGCTGAGGTCTTTTGTATGTAGTAACTGTCGTAAGGCTTAACCCCAGCAGTGAGAGGGTAGTCGCCCGGTTCGGAGGTAATTTCAACCTCTCTCGTGACCCATATTCGGCTGAGGGCCCGTTGTGTAACTGGCCAGACAATAGGTATGGACGCACAAACCGTAGCCAGGTTGACCTCAACCGTTGCTAGCACAGCAGGGACACAAGCATACCAAGACGGATCCACCCGCGGGTAGGTTCCGGCCTCTGTGTTCTGGATTGACACGAGACGACTGACCCCAATAGCAACAACACTGTTAACGAATAAGGTCAGTAACCTCACAATGATGTCTGAATAGTCTGTTGGGGCGCTTACATATCACCTAGAATGAAAAGTGAGACAACTCCATAGACAGACCTTTTCCGAATGCCGTTTCCCCACGCGAATGGTAGTGGCAACCCACAAACTACCATGTCGAGAACCATGTTAGTCGCTACATGGCTGATGTATGTTCTTTTGTAGACGCCTAAGTCGTCCGACCCGAATCCCCATCGGCCCGTGGCCGGTTTTGTCAGTTCCCACTGTGCCGAAACGGGATTGCATGGAAACCAAGCGATGACGGAGTATGCAGTGCCCCACATCGCTGTGACGATGAGCATTGCCATGCAGATTCGATATGATAGTGAACCATGGTCAAACATTGTGAGATACTGACATAATAGAGCCAGCTTGATGAAGGTTGTTGCCATGCAATACGCAGCGTTGCAAATGTAAAAGGTCTATCGGCAAGTTAGCGCTTCAGATTCTACACCAATAGAGAGACATCCAGGAAGCTTGCCTTGATGAATGCCTCAGTGCCAGTTAATCCAAGAGTAGCATAGTGCTTGCCCAATCCGTTTGAGAGGGCTTACATAGACACGGTCAGCATGCGTGCTTTCTTCGTGATCAACAACCAATGCCCCTACCTATACATGTTGATATGGATAACAAGGTGGTGGTTACCTGGAAGGAAGAGAGAACTTAGCATTTTGACCCTTAGAGTCCGTTCGGCTGGGAATTGACAACATACCAGGACCATAATGAGCAATGCATCGTCCCAGCCGGGGCGGCGAACGACGAAAAAACGGATGTACAGCCGCCCAATGCCACAAACATAGGCGAGGATCTGAGGATGTCGTCAGCCTTGTGGTTCATTTCTGAGCAATGCCTGAAAATCGCGCATTGTATGTTGAATGAACGACAACATATCGAGTAGCGTACCAGAAAAACAACAATAATGGCTAGCGCTGCTGGTCGCTGATTGAGCGCAGGGATTGCTTCATCGAGGTCGACCATTGTTAAGTGCACATGTCATGAAGATGAAAGAGGATTGTGGATCGAAGTTCTTGGTACAATGACCGACGAATCCGCTTGGTCTGAGGAGAACGTGTGTCGTATGCGTGCCGAGCCTTATCCCAGCAGACACGTTGCCTGGGTACAGCTGGATAGGAATGTCCAGGGGACACTGTTTCTTTTATGTGGCCCACAGGAATTGAGATACCGTTCTTTAAATCCCTGTTCATAGCACCAAACTGCCGGGATCTGAAACTCAAATATTTGTTTCGAGAACTTCCCCATGAACGTTAATCTTAAAAGGGTGGGATTGTCTTGCCCATTGGAGTTTGTTTCGTTTCAAGACTGGGTTTGTTATGCGGCGCTGGACGCACGGAACAGCTCGCGAACTACGCCAGTGCTCGTAGTTGGCCCCAGTGGTGCGTAAAACTCTCTCAGTACCCCTTACCTTTGCTCAGGCAATTGCAAGAAAACAACGTTGCACAACGCGGCAATGCCATTCCCGCTGAAATGAATTGGATGGGTCTGTTTGAGTACGCTTCCATATATGTTGTTCTGATTCTGAGGCAATACGTCTGTCTCGCGCACAATCTCCTTCTGGCTGTCTCTAATGTTAACCTTTTAAGCAAAGACCAGCAGTTACAAGAGCATCTCTGAGTAGAAGATGATCTGCTGGCTCATCTCCTCTCGGGCTTTGACCAGAGACAACCTTAATTTGACCCGATTATATAATCAACCCGAGCAGTATTAGTGATCTGGATGTTCTCAGAAGACTGCCCTTGCCTGATTCGAACAATTAGGCATCCTTTATCACTCCTTCTAGTGGAATCTGCGTCTCTTCATCCCTTTGAAAAAAGATTGTTGAGTTAAAATGTTGTGGGTTATTATGCGTAGTTCTTAAGTATTGGGTGGAATGCAATATGTTGATGGAGGAGGAATTCACTTAAAGCGGCTTATAACCCTTTGATGAGCGTCGTCATAGCCTTCACATGATGTACGAAAGTATGCAAGTGAAGGCTTCATGCGAGGTCTATTTGCCTGTTTCATGTGACTATGCTGAGGGATATTTACGAAGCGATTCGCACTAAAAACCTGATAATGGTGTGATTATTTAGTAGGCGTAAAAGTGTAGATTTCTTGGGTTAGATGTGCAAAATGAAATGGGGAAGCTTTTATGTCTCGGCTTCGATGCAGCTCTGGTGGATGCTCAAGGTTAGTAGCAGCCATGCTCCCCTAATTAGATATTAGAGGTGACCTCCAACCCCTTTTTCATTAAGCATACCAGTCTTTTCTGTAATAACAATCATGGTTTGGTTTTAATTCTATCCATCTGTGTCTTTATTTTCTTTCACAATAGGTAAGTGAGGTTTCTCGTACTAACTACTATGTGGTAAGGTATGCTAGTAAGACACATTTGGGAATCCACCAAGACATCTAGCGGCGATATCAACAATCCAATATTATTGAAGAAAAGTCCGGATTTATTCACATTATGGAGCCTGAGATAAGCCACTATTGCGAAAAGCAGTACAGCGCCCTGCTCAGCAGCGGATTTCTCTTATGAAATCGTCACTGCAGAAAAGATGCGAAGAAGCTGAAGAGTGGAACCAAAGACAAAAAGGCGAATCTAAGAGATAGGTACTCACAAAGGCAACTCCTTCAATTATCAGAACATGAACCATATTAATAATAGTCCGGCTTTCAAATAGACTGAAAGAATAATTGTTTTATATATAACACATTTATGCCACATAGTGAAGACGTCTGTGGAGTTCAACGTTCCATTGCTGAGTATTATGTTCTTTAGATGAAAGAGAAACTTCTTCAAGGAAGCGCACCCCCCCTACAAGAACATGCTAGAGAGAGTTAGTATTTGAAGAGGCGCTGTGTCCTTCGTTTAGTTACCAGCATGCTGGACATACCGGCTTGGTATTTTGAGGAAGAACCATTGAAGCGCAGCTCCGTCAGCACTAGAGACGTTGCAACGCCATATTCAGCAGGTCCTTATGTCAATTTATGTGAAGATTGCTGAAAGGAACTTCAGCATTTCCTCATATTTCAGCATTTCCTCATATGCCAAGATGGCTAGAAGGAACTTCAGCAGTTCTTCAGGTGCCAAGATGGTTAGAAGGAACTTCTGAAGCTCCCCATATGCCAAGATGGCCAGAAGGTTCGATGCCTATTTGGGAAGGTTGCACTTGAACCGGAGTAAACAGGCCACAGCGGCCGGGCTCTGGGCCTGACGGTACGCGGTACTCAATCAGGCATATTGAAAGCTGGGCTAGGCTGGGCAGGCCGCGGGAACGCGGGTGCGGTTTGCTGCCTGCGGCCCTGTGCGATCCAATGTCACAGTGCCGGGGAGGTACTCTTCTCGTTGCGTGATCTCGCTACGGCTGGTTCAGGTGGGCCTGTACGAACCACCCCTTTCATAAACCATGCGAACTATCTGCAAGGAGGAACTTATGCTTAACAGGGACCAATGAGCGCTTGGATAGTGCTTAGGGTTTAGTGACAGGCGATTACCGTCCAGACTGCAGAGGATGGATTGTAAAGGCATGTGGTGGCCAGGTCTATCTCAGAGTATGACACTGACAGGAGAAAACCCAAGAAATCCATTGTTGATAGTCAGTTCCCTGTCTTGTAAGTGGCAGCCTAGCCTGGGCATCGCCGATCTCCTCCTAGAAGCAATAGTTCTCACGCACACTTGGGATACCGAAGGTAAGGTTCTCAGTTTCGATCCCGATAACTAACATGTCGTAGGCGACCGTAGTCCCAGGCATTAAGGCCTCAATTTCCGAAGCATCCAGGATCTTACCAAAGTCCTGTTGTGATTCGGTCGTCAGGTGTCATGGCAGGAGAAGGCCTGTCACATGAACATGGAAGGTCGTTCGGAAGTCGGCCGACGATATAGCTCCTCGCATGTCACTCATCATTGACACGATTCCGCGTAATGTGCAGAGTGTGCTATCTAAATTCATACAAATGGAGCGCAGATCCCATCCCACCGCCTTTTGAATGAATGGCCATCCATCTGTGTCACACAAAACCGTGACTCTGTCTCTCTTTTAGTTCTCGAGGCGCAAGATGAGGTTCCTCAATTCTCTTGTCAGCCTCTCCTGGCTCGGCTCGCAGGCGCTCTTCGCGGACACTGTGACAGCCCACCCCACTTCCACGGATGTTACTTTCATTGATGATCCTATCGTCAACGAAACAACGGCATGGGCCCAGCTGGATGATGATGCTGGATACCACGGTCCGAAGAGGCGCGATGACAAGACGCCTCTGAGGATCATGGCCCTGGGCGCCTCCATTGTCTTTGGTGTCGGCTCGCCCGACCAGAACAGGTTCGTCTCATGAAGCTGAGTGAAGCTGAGTGTGCCCAAAAGTATCTATCTGCTAATCAGAAGCTTCCATCCAGCTACCGCAAGGTTCTGCGCCAGCAGTTGCGCCATGACGGCCACCCGGTCGACATGGTCGGCACCAAGAACAGCGGGAATATGAAAGATAACGTAAACATCTTAGTACGCAGGCCCGTTTAACGACAGAATGGCTGACCGAATATAGGACGTCGAAGCTGTATCTGGGTTCATCGTTTCTGAAATCCACGACCTCTCCAAGGCTTCCTATAAGTTCAAGCCTAACATGGTCATCATCAACGCTGGCACCAACGACATTGTTCGCAGTATTGACAATGCGAACCAGCACATCCGCTTCCGCAACATGATCCAGGGCCTCTGGGACAACATCTCCCCCGGGACTGTTGTCATCGCCACAACTATCCTGCCGATCGGTGGTGAAGCTGATGCTAGACGTCAAGCCGTCAATGAGAAATATCGTGAGGTCGTGCGGGATCTGTACGCCCAGGGGCGACCCATCTTCCTCGCAGAGATGGATGGCCACATCGCTCTGTCGGATCTTGATGACGGTGTCCACCCTAACGCGCAGGGGTTCAAGAAGATGGCCGGGCCTATCTACGCCGCCATCGGCCGTGCGAGGTTTCAGGGCCGACTGATGGAACCTCTAGACGCCGGGGATGCTCTCGATCAAGGAGGTGTCGGCTGCCACAAGATGCCAGGCAACGGCATCAACGCTGGTGCTCTCACACAGGTCGGCAGCGGCTACGATGATGGTGAGTACATCCACGACGCTCAGGACATGGGCGCCGTTACCACCATCACTAGCGACTGGGATCGCGACCAGTGGTTCTTTGCCCGCATCTTCCGCTCGGACCGTGATGATCTGCTCGGTTGGATCAAGAACGGAGACAAGGTCCTATACTCTGTGCGCAGAAATGACGGCGACGGCAAATTCACCCTGATTGGCGACCTCGACGTACACGACAACTGCATTCAGAGAGGGGTCCAGTGGGCTGACCTCAACGGCGACGGGCTCGATGACTTTGTCTGCATCGGCTCTGACGGTGCTGTGTTTGCCAGCATCAACAACGGCAACGGTGGTGGCGGCACACTGCCCACGTTTACACACATTGGTACCTGGAAGGCCAGGGACCCTGCCTACGCCCAGGCCGACATCCGCATTGCCGACATTGACGGTGACGGACGGGCCGACTTCATCGGTCTCAGAGGGAACGGCGACGCTTGGGTCTGGCGCAACGGTGGCATCGGCAACAAGCCATCCTACTTTCAGGCCATGGGTAGGCGTTTCGAAGGTAAAGGCATGGGCAACCTCGCCGGCACACGCTTCGAAGATCTCAACGGTGACGGTCGCGCCGACTGGCTCTGGGTTGCCGACAACGGACAGACGATGACTTATACCAACTCGCGAAGCTGCCACTGGGGCAAGGAAGGTGATGGTCTCTGCTCCGCCTGGCGAATCGGCACCAATAAGGCTTCGGGCAAATCTCCAACGCACACGGGCGGCATGGCCAACGGTATCCGGAACAGGATTCACTTTGCCCGTGTCTACGGCAGCCCGCAGGACTTTGGTCTCCTATCACGCAAGGACTACGTCTGGATGGAGCACAAGGAGCTCTCCAACGGGAAGCACGAGTTCAAAGTCAGGGTGTGGAAGAGCAAAGGTTACGGTGCGACCAAGCCTAAGGCTGACGGTAACTTTTACTGCGATATGACAGGCAACGGGCGCGATGACTACGTTTGGGTTCTCTCTAAGGGCGAGATGGACCTGTTTGAGAATGCTGGCAAGGATTTCATCGCCAACGGCGAGAGTTACTGGAAGCAGCCGGGACAAAAAGGCCTTCTTCAAGCCGCCCAGGGATCTCGACCGTCGCGATATCCATCTGACCGACTTTGATGGCGATGGCAGGTGTGATATCATTCACGTCGACCACAACAACGGGAACCGCGTGGAAATGTGGAAGAACAACTACACACCCAGAGGGGGTTTCAACTGGCAGTACATCGCCAACCCGGCCCCTGCGATTAACTGCCCTGAGAAGCGCGGCGTCGGCTTCCGGGGCTGGCCGATACGTTTCGCCGATGTTACGGGAAGTGGAAGAGCCGACTACGTCTGTGTTGAGAAGGATGGCCGCATGTGGGGATGGACGCAGGACGGTAACGGCGGCTGGACGCATGTCGACCAGTTCTTCAGCGCCAAGGGCCACGACCGCGCCAACCTGCAGTTTGCGGACGTTGACGGTGACGGTAAATCCGACATCATATGGATCGAGAAGTTTACCGGTGACGCTTTTGTGTACTACAACCTCGGCCGGAGGGATATCGGAGGGTCTCGGTACCACTGGGCGACAATCCCAGCCGGAGGACCGGAGAGGGCGTATGTTGGAAGCTTCGCCGGTTCGTGCCAGTACTTCCCGGACTTTGACGGCGACGGCCGCGCGGACCTGCATAGTATTCAGGCGACATTCCCCAATACGGCCGTCACGGCGTACAACAGATGCGGTGGAAACCGCAACGGTGACGACTGGGACCCTTCGTACGAGCCTGAAATCGTTATGCCACCCCCGGGACAACCTATCGAGGGTACCCCCGGCGGTGGCGGCGCTCAGCCGATCGAAGACGGATGGAGAGAGATTCCATGCACGCACCAAGGCGTCACAGATGCCAGAAAGGACGCCGAGTGGCGCTGGGATCAGGTCCTGACGCCCGCCGCCTGGGCCGCCGCCCTCCGGAACTACAGGTCGGATAGTGAGTCGAACCCCGACTTCGTGTTCACCCGCTCTATCAGCAATTTCTTCAACGGTCCCGAGTCCATGGACTGCCACAAGCTGACGGGAGCCAACGGCTGCACGGGGGGCTCCTCCTTGCAGTGTAACGACACCAACGCCCCCGCGGGCTACTTCATCCTTAACTCGTTCCGCAACATCAACGCCATCCTGTGGAACACGTACGAGGCATTAGGGGACTCGTACACTGACGCCGGGGCCTCGATCAAGGAGTTTGGCAAGACATTCTCCCCCGTCAAGGACAGCGATCTGAGCGTGGCCATTCTCATCGACATCCTCACCCTCGGCTACGGCGCCGTCATGGCTCCAACGTGGAACAAAGCGATCAGCAAAGTGCCCTGGGCGAAGAACAACGGCGACGACTTCAGCACGCTCAAGGATTTCACCAACGATATGGTCTTGGGTGGGTTTACCCTGACCAAGGACCTCATCGGCAACGTCGTGACTAGCCCGGACTCGGCCCTCACAGTGAACTTGAAGTTGGTCATCAACGCGTGGGAGACGGCCATTGACAAGTTCGCGATTGAGATCTTCAGCGGTAAGGGCGACAGGCTGTCCAAGATGATTGCCAACGGCAAGATGATCTCCTCGGTGACCGTCATTCCTTCGACTAAGGAGCTGCGGGCAGACATTGACAAGGCTTTGTACGCCACGCTGATCCCCCTGGGCTGGAAGATCTCCAACCAGGATCTGAACCCATTGTATGCATCCCTCAAACTCTCGGGAAGATCGGAAGAAGAAACAGATTTGGGGCAAAGTGCTGACGACATCTAGCATCGTCGATTCGAAACGCAGCTGCGATGCCGCAGACAACGACGAGTGGATCAAGCTGCGTATCACTAACGGCGCCATCAAGTCCGAAAAGGTCTGCATCGCCGACCGCGCTTACTTCCTTCTCGCCGCCGAAAACCCAAAGCAAGAGTGCGATGATGATAAGTACGGCATCGGCTGCTCTAAGTTCGACGGCCTCCCCGGCACGAGCGCCCTGGGACCCCTGTGGGGCGACGTGACGAGGGAGGACATGGTCAGGGGGTACGCAATTCTTCTCTCTTTCAACTGCTCGGTGATCCTCCAGAGCATGTGAAGCTAACAGAAAGGCAGCTCCATCAACACCTTCAAGGCCCACGGCAATAAGAACCAGGAGAATCCTCGGGTGCCCGGAATCCTGGATGCTGAACAGATTGACGCCATGGCGGAAGTCAACATCCAGGCGCCGTACGTCTTCAACTTCCCCATCTGCGACGTCAACACATCGTTCAGAGGATACTATGAGGGTGGTCTCGCTGGCCACGTCAAGAAGAGCTACTTCCCATGCAACCTCAACTACGATCTTTAATACCTAAAGCTGTAGGCATCTTTAATAAACAGTTCATTTGTTTCTCAAAGTGCTCTGTATTAAGTCTAGGCACGGCAAATGCCCAAGGCGCAGCAGTACTACTCCTTGCCTCGAATGTGATCTTTGAATGAGATCTCACCCAATAATGAACTCGAGGCTGGCTTCCAGATGCCTCTCACAGCCTGTGTACGCTATCGGCTGACGCACTAATACGTGCCCTTCCCCGCGATTAAGCACGGTCCTCATGAGTCAGATTTTAGGCTGCAGTCCCCATATGCAACACAGGGCAGTTGGGTTGCATCAAAAATGACGTAACCACTGTTCGGGCTCGGTTTACGGCATCTTCAATTCTTTCCAACCCTCTGCTCTCATTTTTCCTCCTCTCCCCCATGAGTAAAAGTTGACACCTTCTTGACCCTGCATCTGTAAAGCAACTGCAAAGAGATCCCGCATGGCTACCGAGCACAATGGCTCTTGAAATGGACTTTGAGAATGATCCTGAGGGTGAGGTTTCCCATCCTCTTGAAAAATTGTCAACTCTCAAATGCTGACTACGTGATACAGAGTACACGGAGTCTGGACACAAAAGGACGGCTGCCTTTGATGATATGAACCTTAAGCTTACTCTTATTCGTGGGGGTAAGTCCCAGTGATACATTGGAAGAATTATGCTACATCTAGTTGCTAAGCAAGACAACTCTCTAGTGTACGCCTACGGTTTTGAACGCCCTTCGTCTATCCAGCAATGTGCCATCATGCCCATCCTCGATGGCCAAGATGTAATTGCCCAAGCCTCCTACGGTGCTGGCAAGACGGCTACTTTAGTTATCTCCATCCTTCAGAAGGTCAAACCTGATCTGAAAGCCTGTCAGACTCTGATCTTGGCTCCCAGCCGCGAGTTAGTTATGCAAACCCAGGAGTTCATAGTTGCTATTGGCGACTTCATGAATATCCGGTGTGGTGCCTGTGTCGGTGGAGTCAGCGTGCTCGACAACGAGAAGGTTCTCCGGGATGCCCCCCCGGTGGTGGTTGGAACACCTGGCCGGCTTAAGGACATGATACAGCGTGATATCCTCAAGACTGCGAATATAGAGACGCTTGTCCTTGACGAAGCTGATGAAATTATTGCTGTAAGCGTTTGGGCAAGCGTTGGATTCTCTTACGATTGTTACTAACCAAAGTATCCCAGCGTGGTTTCGCGGATCAGATCTACGATATCTTCCACCTTCTTTCAAAGCCGGTCCAGGTTTTAGTTACCTCTACTACAATGCCACAGGACCTCCTCGAAGCTACTGGCGTCTTAATGCGTAAACCTCGTCATATCTACATCACGAAGAAGGACTTCCGCCTCGAAGGCATCAAGCAGTTCTATGTTAATGTTGAGAAGGATGAGTATAAGCTTGAAGCCTTCCTCCACCTATGCGCAAGTATCACGACTTTTCAGACAATCACCTTCTGCAACACCCGCAAAAAGACCGAATGGCTCAAGGAGAAGATCAATGTCCCCAACCTTCCCTTCTCCGCCATGCACGGGGATATGCCCGCGTTTGAACGTGCTGAAATCATGAAGCAATTTCGTTCTGGTTCGGCGAAGTTGTTGATTGCTACTGAGCTCCTCGCCCGTGGTATAGATGTTCAGCAGATTCCTTTGGTAATCAACTATGATCTGCATGCTAACTATGAGGGTTATGTACATCGTGTCGGTCGTAGCGGACGCTTCGGCCGAAATGGTGCCGTTGTCAATTTGGTTACCTCGGATGATACCTGTCTAATCAGTAAGATCGAGGATTTCTACAATACCGAGATAGAAGAGACGACTCTTGACAATCTCATGCTCTATTTAATGGAGCAAGAATGGGCTAAGAGTAAAGAGATCTCTCCCCGCCCGGCGAGAACGGCGGGCCCTTCGTAACCGCGTGTAGAGGTTTTGCCCGTTCTAAAGGATACGTACACAATACACATCCAAGTCAATTTGTCAAGTGGCCCAGGGCCGATTTCCGTCTTGCATTATGTCTGAGCAAATTCGGGGCAAGAGTCCCCTCTAACGCTCTCTTGGGCGAAGTGGCCAAGAGGTGCACTATGTCCGAGTAGGTAGGTGTCACAAGATCCGCAGTCAGGCGCTGCTGCATTTATCTGACAAAGCCGCTGTCAGCATCGGGACTTCAATCTTTGCAGCATTCCCAGCTCACGAGGCTCTAGCGTCATTTAGCCATGACCAACTCCTCCGATACCATCTCATTACATTTGGTCCAAACTTTGCCTTCAATCGATTCAACTTCGTCTATCAAGCGGATCAAAGCGTTCACTGCTTTGTGCTGCCTCCCGAGGTCTGTGAACGTCCGCCGTCGGCAGCACAGTGTGATGCTCTCAACCCTAGGCTCCAAATCAGAGCGGGGTTCTTAAAATTCAGTCAGAATTTGCATCATTAGTCGCCCAAACGGAAAACTATGCCTCCAACCTATTCTCATGGCATCCTACCCGTGGGGTCGATCCGCGTTTTAGATCTGCGACCATCGCTAAAGTCGTCCAAAGTTCCGGAGTGCGAGATTCGCGTAATCTCCCTGCGCGATGACGAAAAAGTATCGTCTTACGAGGCTCTGTCGTACTGCTGGGGCTCGCCACAAGGCACCATTCCCATCTACTGTGTTTCATCGCCCAAAGACAAGGATAAGAAACAACTTCTGGTCACGCCTAGTTGTTTTGACGCCTTAGTTCACCTGCGCAACCGACTCAGCAAGCGCACTATATGGATCGACGCCATATGTATCGACCAGACCAGCGCTCAGGACAAGGCCCAACAGGTTCCCATGATGGCCGAGGTATACGCAAAAGTCGAACAGGTTGTCGTGTGGCTGGGCAGGAATCAAAAGACCACGCGGCTTGTGTTGGAGTCGAGTCACACGACTCAGCTCGCCTACTCAATTATTCCATGCCGGAACGCGTCGAGATACGGCCATCCGTGTACAGCCATTGGCCCGACCCGACCGGAGCCCCGCTTGCCACCCCCTGCCCGACTTGGAAATCTCGACGCGTTCCCTGGGTCCTCTGATTGGCCGGCATTGACTTCAGTGTCTCCACCTTCAATTGAAATCTCGACGCGTTCCGAAATGAGACCCCTTCTCCTGACTGATAGTTCGTGAACTGGAACCAAGAGTAGTAGGTCAACAGCTTCTGCTATAGAGAGTGAGAGAAAACGAAGAAAAGTAAGCAAGAGAGAAAAAAGAAAAAAAGTTTATAGGGAAGTAACAATTAAGAAGAAAGCAGGGGAAAGAAAAAACCGTTTTCTATTACACCTCTATCATTGGAGAAGAACGGTTGAATCAGTTCCTAGTGAACATGACTCTCCCATCTCCCCTTCCGTCGTCGCCGTCGTCCGGGCCCACGGCTCCGCACAGCTTGACGGACAAGCAACGCCGGCGCTTAGAAGCCTTGCAACTGCATTTAAACGAGCCTGAGCCGGTCCTCATCTGCCGGCCTTGCGGCTACGCCTTGAAGCCGTTCGGTGAGCGCGTGAGCCGCTACCTGGCCGAGAAGCATGAGGTTCCCAAGCCACAGCGCCATGGACTGAGCGCTTTAGTGAAGTCCCTACATCTAGGGGACCCAAACGACGTTGCTCTCCGTCCCGACGGCCTCCCCCCGCACGAAACGCTGACGGTGACCCGTGGCCACGCCTGCCGCCACTGCAGCTACCGGACGGCGAGCGATGATGATGTTGCCATGTTGAGCGTGATGGGCGATTTGGCACTATGACTGATGGAAAGTCTTGTCAAATTAGGTCGGACTTGACACGATTCGTGAGAGTAGGAATTCCGACCCTTCAAACATGATATGATTCAGGATCTTCTTGGGAAAAAGCGATACGTCTAGAGGAGTGCGACATCCCTTTTCAAGCGATGTTAGTTCTCGATGATTAATAATTCACGTTGAGGAAAGGGCTCCCAATAGGTTCACGGGTACCCGTGCCTGTAAAGTTCCACGGGTCCCGTGAATATGACTAAGCGAGCCGACCGCCTCAGCAAACACCTGCGTTTCACGCATGTCTCTGCACAGCACTCCAGTCATTGGCTCTTCTCT